GAATCAAAACGAAAACTTCCTATTTATTTTGCATTTCTAGATACTTGAATTAATATCACATTGCAAACCAGAAAATTCAACTCCAGATAAGGTCTTATTTTATATATGTGAAAACCAAATCAAAGAAAATTTTCCAAAAACATTTATTGCTCAAAGAATTTTATTAACTTTTCTCGTTAGTGTGGCAAGTGTCGAAAGATCTTTTTCGAGATTAAAGTTGATAAAAATATTTTTGGATTCCACAATGGAACAAGAGAGATTAGACGGTCTAGCAGTCTATGGAAATTATTATGGACAAATTAAGTAAATGTTTTGCCATTTTAATATTAATTTTTCTACCATATTTGTACTCTGTATTCTGAATATAAAATTGTGTAAAGTACAGAAAAGAAAATATGTACAAATTTCAAAACGGACGCATTTGTTTATTTTCGCACCCTTCCATTTTTGAATTTGAGCTGGCATTCTTCCGCTTTTAACGATGTTTTCGGCCATAAACCAGCAAATAGTTTTCCAAAATGTAAACTTTGTTTTATCAATTGACGGGGAATATTTAAACCTAATTAAAACAATGTAAGTTTAACAGCAATATATATTTCAAAGTAACAACGTGAACATAAATTTTATTTCAAAATTTTAAAATTATAACAAAACTTTTTCACAAACAACATTTGCAATTTGCTTTCCATATGCCAATAAATAAAGATTTTGAGATGATCCCACCCTTGAACACCCTACATGGTTGTTTGAGAAACAATTCAGCAACTTTCATAGTTTGATCTTGAATCCATTTATAATATTTTATTTGGTCTAATTTAAATATTCGATAGTTTATCTTTTTATTATTATTGAAGACTTAGTCTAGTGTGGCAAGTGTGCCCTTGCATCTCCCTGCCTTTATTTGTTTTGAATTTCGCGCAAAGCTACACGAGGGAAATCCGCGCTAACCGTCCCTAACTTAGCAGTGAAAGACTAGAGGGAAGAACCAGAATTGTAAGTGGGGTGTTGTGTGTGAGGTGGCTTCTTCTGTAGTTACGCCACTGAGTATTACTCAAACTTAACCAGATAGTGCTCAGAAGTTTATTTAGGTTATCGTTTTTGTGAAAATGGGCTTTATTAATACGTTATTATTATTATTAATAAGCCACACAAATTAAAATATGATACTACTACTAGACCAGAAGCTTTTTAGATTACATTGTAAATATATCAGTTTTTTGTTATTATTGATTTTTATTATATAATTCGGAATAAAATACCGGTCTAGTACTAAAATTTACACTTAATCCTAGTAACAGACTGAGTAGCGGATGGAGAAGTAACCTCGACAAACTTCTTCGACATTGTTATTATAGTCCTTAAGTAGTGTCATGTCCAAAATATCATAATATTGTAGGTAATTTAATGACTAAAAGCTTTAAACTTATAATGGCACCACATCTTTACAGCTCCAGGTAGCCTGAGGTAACTAACAATAAGTTGATAATTAAGTCTTCAGTCCTTGTTGAACATCAAGTAGTAATGCAACTCATTTTAACTTTAGGCATACGTTTCGCGCCTTTCAAAATGTTATACCGTCTAATGTTCCTCTGACATTATTTCGTAGAATGTAAGTTCTTCCAATGTCAATTTACCAGAAGCTGCACTCAACTTACTGTATATTATAAAAATGTAACATCATCTTGTTTGTGCATAATCTAAAGTGCACTTTAAAATTAGGCCTCACTGCAAAAGTAGGCATTTTATTCTTAAATTTAAAATACAATTTTGCCAATATTAGCAGTTATTCGCATTAAAATGGTCACCAACATAATCGTGTAACATAAAAAGCAAATCTACTTTATTTTTGCGTCCAGTTAAATAGATTTAAATAAGAAGCAATAAACAGTTGTATAATGTTTTTTTCTGTATAATAAATCTCAAAATGGAAGTCTTTCAAATTGCAACTATTTTGCTTCATTACCCATTCAAGCCGTCTCCAGCCATTATTATACTAAGTGTCTGTTGTACCATCTATTGGAGTAAAATTAAACTAATGAATTTTTTAATATTTTTATACGATTGTATTCAATTATCCAAATTATAAAACAATATGCCCATCTTTAGATATTTTAATACATACAAAGCTACTTTCTAGGAACACTATCTGTTATATTATTTACAATACATTACTTCCCTTCTGCCACTTTCGACATGTATGTTGTATTTGTAAATTATATTTCGTCTCTTAAGAATATCACCAGATAGGATTATATTACCCACTCTTATATGTTTCTGTGATACATATACACATTTAAGCAATAAATCTAAATCATTTAGCAACATCATTTAACGTACAGATGTTTCATTTTTATGTTTGTCACTACCTATTGATAAGTTTTATAACACTAATTTATTACTATAATATGTATTGAAATATTCTGAGGCTCAAAAATCCCATTGAAACGATGTCATATTAAAAAAAAGCACAAGAAAGGCTACAAACATGATAAATACTGCATGTAAAAAAATCATTAGGTAATATTGTACTCACGCACTGAGCAATAATTTTCACAGACAGTGAAGTTAATGAGAATTTCGGTGTTAGAAGTGAGAGTATCGCATCTATTTAGTTACAAGAACGATTAGAGACGAAACTCTAGAAATAAATTTATTTGTGAGTTAGGTGTATTTACAATTAATAAAAAAATTTCTGTTGAAACGTTGTTTGTAGACTTAGGTCTACAACTACAAGTGAAAGAAATAAACTATTTCGTTATGATTACATGCACTGGACTTGGCATTATTTTTAACAGATAATCCAAAAGAATCCACCAAAGATAAAATACGTTACAACACTTGTGTCAGAAGTAGGATTATTTTGGTGAAAAATAGAATATGAGCACACAGGCACATAGCGAGATAGGAAACCTACTAGAAATGATGAAACAATGGAAAAAAGAACAAAGAGAAAAAAAAGACAGAGCATTGAAAGAAGGTCAAGAAGGAAGAGACAGAAAGTTAATAGAAAAACAAAAAGAAAAAAGTAGAAAAATTAGATGAACGAGACATAAAATTATAAGAAGAAGAAAGAGACAGTAATTTAAGAGAGGAGTTAAAAGAAAGAAACGTAATATTTAAAGAATCATTAAAAACAAAAATAAATATTATTGAAGACAAGATTGATGAAGCAATTGGAGATGTACAATGGGATTTTAACAATAAGATTGAAGAAGTTCCAAAACACATCGACAAAGGAGGGAAAGGCTAAAATTAGAAAATCAAAGCATTAAAAAAAGTGGTCATCAAGATAGAAAACAACATCAGTGACAGAATATAACTCCTGGAAAATGAATTATTAAATGGAAAGACTAAACCAGCTATACCTCTTTCTGCATCAGATCAGGAGTGCCAGCCTGGAATGCCATTTGCTACAAAATATGGATTAGAAAAACTTATTTGGTCTACACCTATTAGCACTACCGCTGTGCTACCTGTTACTGAAGGACCTTCCTGGATTACTCCAGCCATGACATTACCAAATCCAGTTCCAGAATTTAAATAGTCAGTTCAGCATTGGCCAATGGTTAAACCAACAGATTATGATAGGAAGGTACCATGAGAATTATACCATGCTCAGTTTGAAATAATTTCAAGAGTAAATGGGTAAAATAGTATACAACAAGCCATCCATCTTGCTGTCATTTAAAGGGATCATCATACAACATTAAATAACCTTCCAGGTGAGAGCCATAACAGCTATTAAACATTGATAGCTGGCTTATTCAACAGGGTTGAAGTGTTACACTAGAAAGATATGTCTAGCGCAAAGTTTTGGAACAGGATATTGAGAAATGAGAAGACCTTAGTCAACTTACAGAAGACTTGGAAATACATGCCCAATTACCTTACCGAGGTTTTTTTAGTGAAATGATAGATTCGTTGACACGTGACCTATTTGTTGATGCCATAACAAGTGAGAATATGATAATGTGGCTGAAGCAAAGTAGGTGTACATCCTTAAAGAAAGATCTGCAGTTAGCAATGAAACGAGAATCCATTAAGTTAGAAGATAAACTAATAAAGGCACTATCTAGAACTTACTTCATGTCGAGACATGGATGTAAAGTCGGGCTAGCTTAAGATAACTTCATAGTCTGTGACCAGAAAATCCATTTGCACTACACGGGATTTACTACACTAAAGATTGGACGTCCAGTAGAAACAGGGACAATGGTCATTGTACCATTAAGTACTCATTTCAGGTGTTAGTATTAATAATTCTTCGTCTAGTGACTGAGACATAATGGAATCAAATAATCCAGCATGCTACAAGGGATTAGTGGTTGGAAGAACTTTCTTGGAGATAAAGAATAAAGATGTGATACTTGACTTTATTCAGGAAATACTTAAATCGGCTTGTGATAAAATGAAAGTTAGCTATGCTGTAATTTCTGATAAAACTGGATTCCATCAAGGTGACATGGTAAGGCTGAACAGTTCTTGTTGCAAGAGAGAACAAAATCTAAAGTTAAGTAGGTGTTCAGATGAGAGGCGAACCAAGCCAAATATCATCTTCTGTGATCATCTCTGGAAATGCTTTAGTGAGAAAATAACCAACTGGATAACTCCAGGGAAGAACTTATTAGCAAAACCTTCCTGAATGAAAAATTTAGTGTGGTGTTTTATTTTTTCTATTAGGATTGTCCAGAGGACTTTACATTCCAGGAAGAGAAATTGTCGTAAGCTATAATTTTAGTGTTTTAATTTATTATTTAGAGGGTGTAGAAAGACTAGAAAGTTCTAAGGATGTGACATCAAGTTTTGTTCTAGTACATTCGAACCTAGATTATATATACGACATTCGATTAAGCGTCGTTAGGTTAATTAAAGAGTGACTTCACACACTGTATAAATAAATATATATACGCATGTGTGTTGATTTTGAATTTATTGAATTATCATTTTGAACACAAGATGGCAGCATTTCTTTTTACATATGAATATATAGTTCAGTATGCGTAAGCATTAAGTGCCATAGTGGTCATATAGAAGAGAGGATTGGTTGTATTAGTTTTGAGAGAAAAAGTTTGATAAGTTTTATAGGTTCGTATGAAGTATATTTTTGTGTTTTTATTATCATTTGTTAACACTATGCTTGAGGCATTTATCTTCGTTAGATACAAAAGAAGTTTGAAAGGAAAAGTTGGACGCACTTGTCAAAATAGTTTACTTTTAGTTTTCTAGCGAATAGACGAGTAAGTAACTATGACTTGTAATATGCACCTCCGACTGCGCAGTAGGCCTACTACTATTACCACTACTAATACCAATAGTAGCAATAGTATTATTTGTTATGGTACGCCTGTACACGTCAAGGTGTTATTAGGTCCTCGGTTTTGATTTCGTGTGTATTTTCTTTTTACATGTCGAATCATTTTATATAATTATGAGTGAAAACAAATAGTAATATGAAATAATAATAATAATGGGTCAACCATTCTATACTTGTGTTACTATAGATTATACTATAGCGAGTGTTTAGGAGTTCTTAAGTTAAAAAAAAGGGGATTTATTCACAAACGTTTTACTGAAATTTCAAAATTCGATATATACTATGAACAAATTTTATGATAAAATAACAAAGTTAATTTTAAATGATGTTTCATTACTTCTCTGTACAGATTTTGAAATGTTCTAAAGTTCTGTAAAACCAAACATTTAACCCGTTGTTTGCTGTATGGGGTACTGTATGCCTCCGGCAGTTGAATGCGAATGTTCTGTACACAGTGTACGGCTTGCAAAAATTCCATGCATATTTAGAGTAACCACAGTCAATGGGTTAATACATTGTTATTTTCGTTAATGATTAACTGGTATAGTAGTACACGAGGATAAATAATATTAATGTTATATTTTTGTTCTGACATTAAAATCACTTTTAAGAGAAACTGAAAGAAAATTTCAGAGTTTCAAGGTTGCAATGTTAATGCCTATCAGTGTCTTCCTTTCGCTGATTGTCACAACATAAATGAAAATATATTTTTTAATTGCTCGGGTTTTTTTAAATAGGAACATCAAATATCGACTGAAAAGTGTGCTGACTGTATTAGAAGCTTGATTGATAAATCCTGAAACTTTACATATTTATATGTTGAATACAACATACAAGTAGAAGAACTAGAAGAATTTAAGTTTGTTACTGTTCAAAAATTTTGAGAAGATCGAGTTCTCGGGGAGATCTGAACTTTCTGTATTATAGTTTATAAAGAGTTATAAGAGATGAAATATAAAACAAAACCTTGTCGTTTTCAACTTGCATGCGTATCTATACAATACGAGTGAAAATATATTTAAAGTTGTGCATTAGTCGGATTATTCAAAGCCTTTTCTGTTCTGTGATCTAAGGCAAAGTGGTCGTAGAAGCTTTTTATAGTTTGCTTGTTATGTATAATTAAGGCTTCATTATTAATTGTTGTAGATTTTTAGCACATCTTGTAGTAGAAGTCATTACATAAATGAACAAATTGCATAAATATGCAAGTGTCTATATTTTATTATTGTGTACATAAGCCATAATTAATTTAGTTTTAGAATATTTGTGATAAACTAAATTAATTATGGCTTATGTACACAATAATAAAATATATTTTAAATCATTTATAAACTTGTGACCTATTAATGGATTCACTGAAAGGAAAGGGTGTAGAGTGGGTATACGTAAATTTTCAAATAACTTTTGCTAAGATACCTTCCAAAGGCTTAGGTAAGAAAAATGATATTGATGGGGGTCGAAGAAACACTAGTAAGTTTTATTGTGGGGATGATTGCTTAAGTCATTGAGTCCAGTTAGAATAGACCGTTTACTAGTGGAGAGACTTAGGTCAGTGCTCGGGCCTTTGCTCTTTATTATTTACATATAATGATATTGATAGGGTATAAGTAGTTGAATTTGCAGATGATGTTCAGTTCTTCGGTATTTCTAACTGTATTGAGAATGTTAATGCACTACAGAATGACAGATCAGTTGGCTAGTTGGACAAATTTTACAAATGATCTTTGATTACAGCAACAGAAAGATAATGCAATTGAGTGACCATAATTTGAATTGTACTCTTAAAAATTGGATAGACTAAACTCTAGTTAAGATATCTTTCTAACATGATGATTGACTTATGAAATCAGTTACAAGAACTTAAAAGGGAAAGCAAATTTTTATAAAAGTAAAAGGTGGGTTTAAACTTCTGCTTTTTCTCAAAGGTGGGTGTGCAGGTACAGTCTTGAAAACAAAGTGATCTGTTATCCATATGTTATAGTAATAAACATAGACTCCTCCCCATCTTCTTGTGTGTGTGTGATGAGGGGTTGACCCTGAGGGGTGAAACAGCTTTCAATGCCTTGCTTTGTTCTTATAAAACTTTGGTTAACTTTAATTGTACAAGTATAGTATAAGAGTCATTAAGTGGAAAATTTTATCTCTTCTTTAATATCTTTATTTTATTTTAATTTTAATATCTTTATTTTCATGCCCATAAAGATAGTTATTTCTTTATGTGATTTTCTATGCATGTGTGGATGGGTTGTATACTAATTAATTGTGAATAAACAAAATAAACTTGTACCTGTACAATTAAAAAAAATAGAATAACTGATTTTAGAAAACAAAAGGATTTTTTTTGTTTTTCATTTACTAACCCCTATTATTGTATAAGAATGTATAGTGAAACTGTACTGATTACATTGTTTTATGTAGAACAGTAAAACCATGGGAACAATAGATGATCCAAGTGACACAGAAGTTCTGGAAGAGTCCTTTCTCTCATGGATTGATGTTTTGATTTTATTGTCTGTTCTTGGAATAGCAGTCTATTGGCTTTTTTTACGGAAGAAAAAAGAATCGGGTGACAGCAACAACATTAGAACATTTTCCATCGAGTAAGTCCCTATTATTTGTACAAGTTAAAGATAAAAATGTGTATGTTTCGTCATGCTGTTCAAATGAAAGTAGAGATTAACTTAGTTTCACCTGTATATTAATCTAACTATTTAACTTTCAATTTTACCAGAAAGTACCTTTTATTGAACATTATCATAACCATTCGGTTTCATTCGGATGTGTCCGTACACCTGTTAGTCTTTTAAACAGCCAATTAATTAATGTAAAACCTGTTAAGTGTGATTAATTTTCTAGTAGTGTTTTTACTTTACAATAATCTTGATGTATCTGGTGTCCTATTTCAGTTCGTTTGTCAATTGGACAAATGTGGCAATTCAAACTTTGTAAATGGAATGCATCTAATGTTGAAAATTTAGAATTATGGAGCTGAAATAGAAAGATAAACAAACAACAATTTAATATTATATGCCACAATTTTTAACCGTGACATAGAGACTCGTGGAATGGCTTCGAGTTTTATTCAAGTACAAACTTTTAGCTCGTAGCTCCGTCATCTCTTGACTGATTTGAGATCTAACTACAGCTGCAGCTATTGATGATTCCCTCTTGTTTTGCAATGAATAGACAAAATTTATTAATAAAAAAAATTTAATTTTAGAATATATAAAAAATCAATAGGTGAAATTGAGGATGCTGATGTTTATTGAATTAAACCCTCTCTTAGCTCCTCATGGTAAACATCAATTGAAAGGTTAATATTATTTCTTTAACATATTTTTAATGGCCAGACTTTTTTTTTGCTTATGTTTTTACTTAAACTGACAATTTTTAAGTAGAAAGGATTTTTCTGTAAATTTTTGTTTCTGTTGAAGAAGCAATTTTAGAAACGAGCTTGGGAAACTTTTAGAGATTAAAGTTGTTTTAAATGTTTTTTGACACTGGAGAAATTGTCAATAATTTAAAGATTGGCAGCAGATGTATTAAAAAAAAATATATAATCCAATGATGGTTTAGAAAACTGTAAACCTATTTGTTTGATTGTGTTGTTAATAGTGTTAAAGATACGTTTTCAGTTTTGGGAAAATATCATGAGAGTAATAATTCTTAGCATGGCTATTTTTTTCTGGAGATTGTTGATATTGTTTCTGCCTTTTAAATTGATGTTGGTATCTTGACTCTCGGAAAGCTTGTAATTAGCTTGTAAGTTGGATGTTGTAGAATTGGCTCAAAATTTGAGAAAATAAGACAGAGAAGTGAGTTGGTAAAAAAAACTGTTGTGATAACAGGAGGGGGGAGATTATGGCCATTGGGCGTCTCTTAGAGATCTCTTTTGGGATCTTTGTTTTTCCTTATATTTGCAACTATTATCATTCAGAGAAGAGTTAATTGAAATGAAAATGTTGCTTTCCTTTTCAATAGACCTTTCCTTTTCAATAGACCTTTCCTTTTCAACAGACCTTGTGAGTGTTAATGACTCTGATTTCCTAGCGGGACAAACAAATTTGTCCTAAAAATAACTAAAAATCTATACTTTAAAAAAGTGTATGTAATAAAATGTGAAACACTAATTGTACACAGCTCACATAAAAAGTAATTTTGAACAAGATGGGACTGTCCAGGATCTCGGAGTTGAAAGAACTATTACCCCTAAATTAGTCTTTTGATGTAATATATCAACAGCACCAGTAATTAAAAAATCTTACTGAAACTCTGCTTATTAATGCATATAATTATTAACAAAATAAAGGTTTACTTCATGTGCAAGTTTATTTATTTTTCCCATATTGGCAAATAATTGACTACAAGTTTTAGTTACCCACTTGGGCCTGAAGATGGCTACAGTATATGGGAATGACTAGTCTGATTTTTACCACGACGACGGCAGACCCTGATTTGTAAAATTACGAATACTGCTTTAATTTCTACAAAACGTTGTTATAGATATTTGTGAATAATGTTAAAGAAAAAAAGGTTTATAGCTTTTACTTGTCAAAGAAGTGAGAAAAATAGGTAATAAAATAAGATTTAAAAAAAATGTCATGAGCCTTTTGATTTTTTTTTTATATAATTAAAAACGTTTTACTTTCATACAAAAGAAATTATCATTGACTACAACATAGAACTGTTCATTAAATTCAATTCTTCATTTAAAATGCTAGATTAAAGGCTGGTTTTCTAATTTATTTTGAAATGTATTTGCTAGTCTTTTAAACTCCACATCTGTCTTGGATGTTACTTTAGACCCTTGTTAATATTGTCCTAATGACCTACATTATATGATTGGGGTTGTTGAAAGGCTGTCTTATTACTGTAGTGGTACTTTTGTTTTTTAATCATGTGACTGTTGATGTCTGTGAGGGAGATTAGCCTTGAATCTGTTTATGCTACAAAAAATTTAATTTTTATGAACATTGAATGATTGGAGATTTCAAATGGGTTTAATATATGTATTATAAACCTACAGTATTTTAAAACTTAATACCAGTGTTTGATGAATTAGAATAGTTTAAATCCAACTTTTTTTTTTTTTTATCTGTTAGATTTCAAAATATATATGTACTTACTGTAAGCTATCTGATTTAAACTTACAGGTTTATTACTTTACTTTTTTTCTGGTCTGAGATAAAAAAAAATGTTGATGTAATTTTCTTCAGAGTTTCTAAGTCATATAACGTAAATAGGATGAGATGATACTAGCAGTATGATGACTGGGCAGAAAGATAAATTTAAACGTTATCTCGATTAACATCCCATGACTATGATCTCAAGATAAAATTAAGTGTAGATAAAAATTATCTGTTGGAAGTTTCCCGTTGTGTGTGTGGTCATTGTTCAGTAAATCAGTCGCAGATGTTTTTGTACATCTCTTAATTAATACATATCCTACATACAAGTTTGTGTAAAAATATCAATACCTATATAGTTATTGTGTGCAATCATGCATAAGAAAATATTCTTGTAGATTTTTGGTTGTGTTTTCATTCCCTAATAGTGTTAGTATTTGTCATCCTCTACAACCAGTACTACTTGCTATCAGAGTTGGAGGTAATTCAGTGTACCTGTATGTATCATGCTGTCAATTATCACTTGTGAGTGATTGTATGAGTGAGATCATCACATGCTTCTACTTATCTCTTAGAAATTGTGTTGTCAAGGGTACTGACAATTCATGATAAGTTGGCCTCGTGTGCTGGGTGACATCATGGCAGCTATTATCAGGGTGAAATAGTGACCTTGTGATGAATGTAAAAGGGTCCCCCTCCCCCTGTTTTTTATAGTGTAGTGCACTATGATATGAATTCAGAAATTTTGTATTCTAAATATCAAAATGTCCAATTTTTTTTCTGGTATCTTTGTGAAATGTGTAATTCTAAGCATTAACAATATCTGTAAAGTATTTCTGATGTTCTCAGACATCAACATATCTGTCATCAGAAGCATCAATAATTATAACTACCATTTGTTAATTTGTCAAAAATGAGCACTGAATGAAAATTCCTAATTTGGTTGCCTTGCTCGGGACATGTTCTTCAAACAAGTTAAGTACACAATGGGAGAAGTTCTGACCGAACATAAATATGTAGAAACATGATCCACGATGTTTCTCGTTTGTTCTCATGAACTTCCATCCCAACAAATGGATGTGTACCCGGTCTGGTTACAGTGTGTTGAAATTGGCTAGAATACAAGAATGATATAACATGAACCACTCTGTAGTGGACAAGGAGTTAGACATGAGTATTGGTGATTCAGTGGATGTGT